AATTGAAAGGTACAAATTTTCACTTGGCTATTCAATGTTACAGTACTTACTCCCCTTTTGCTGAGAATGCTCGAAACGTTGACAATGGAACCTTTACTTTCAGAACTTACATATAAAATCTGCAACCTTCACTAGTACATACAGAACTTACATACAAAATCCGCAACCTTCTCTAGTACATACAGAACTTACATATAAAATCCCGAACCTTCTCTAGTACATACAGAACTTACATATAAAATCCGCAACCTTCTCTAGTACATACAGAACTTACATATAAAATCCCGAACCTTCTCTAGTATATACAGAACTTACATACAAAATCCACAACCTTCTCTAGTACATACAGAACTTACATATAAAATCCCGAACCTTCTCTAGTACATACAGAACTTACATACAAAATCCGGAACCTTCTCTAGTACATACAGAACTTGCATACAAAATCCGGAACCTTCTCTAGTACATACAGAACTTACATACAAAATCCGCAACCTTCTCTAGTACATACAGAACTTATATATAAAATCCCGAACCTTCTCTAGTACATACAGAACTTACATATAAAATCCCGAACCTTCTCTAGTACATACAGAACTTACATACAAAATCCGGAACCTTCTCTAGTACATACAGAACTTACATATAAAATCCGGAACCTTCTCTAGTACATACAGAACTTACATACAAAACCCGGAACTGTTGAATATGAATTAAGACTTATCATTTGGTTGACGATTCAAAGAAAAAAATATTCATTTCAATTTTAATGTGTGCTCATTTTATTCTGCTGTTGTTTCTAGAATGCAGAAAAAACTTCTACTGGGAAATCCTATTCTTCAATATGTGCAAAGTTTATACAAAAGAATTGGAATCTCCACTGACAGATAAGATGACGCTGCAGAATTAGAATGGACTAAATCTACTGTGGTTAATAGCGTAAAATAAGAGTTGCTTGCAGATAAAAAGAAGCTAATTATGCCATTTGAAAGCGAGTAAATCATTATTTGAACAGTGTGTTGCAGCTTTAAGAAAATAAATAAGAGAAGTATCAGTTCACTGGACTACTTGCCAATGCTAGCTTTGTTATTACCTCACAGTTCGGTGAACGTTGAAATAAAAATAAAATGTAAATAAAAATGTGATTACAAAAGAGAGAGTAACATTGGCTGAGAAAGTAATTGTATAGTTCTGCAAATCGTGAAGAATATCGAGAGTGAAAAACAGATAATGGTCCAATGACAAAAAAAAATGCTTAAATGTGTTCAAAAAAGTCACGTCTAAGACGAAATCTCACTGCAACACAGATCCCAACAGTTTCAAATTACATCCTGTGTCAGACAAGTAGCAAGAAGGCATCTTTACAGAAGGATGATAACAAATGGAAATAACTTTATTTGTGAAACTATAAATGTCATAAAGCTTGATTTGGGAAGTTAATAAAAATCTGCGTGAAGCCATTAAAAAAACACTTAAAAATTTATGATTTAAATGCTGAATCTCAGCGAACAATAGAAACCAACACCCTAATTTCTTTTATAAAAATTCGGTAAACCGCAGATGGTTTTTAGCAGTGATTTATGGGAGACAATAGATTAGTCAGAAATGCTATTTTACACGCCTCTGATTTTGAATCCGAAAATAAAATAGAAAAAACGTGTTTGTTTGTTTTTGTTGGATTTCATGGAGAGCTACAAGAGAGCTATCTACGCTAACCATTCCTAATTTTGAGATGACAGACTACTAGACGGAAAGCATATATTTAACACTGCCCACCGCTAACTCTTTAGCTACTCTTATCAGAACGATAACTAGGATTTTGACCATCACTCTTATAACGCATTCACGGCCTCCAAGTGTGAAGCGCAATATTTATCTTGGTGGGGACGAAACCCAAATCACGAAACCTCTACTATACAATCCGGCACGCAAACCACAAGAGAAAAACTTGAATGGCAGATGTAGTGCAAGCAGCGCTTGATAATGAAATTAGATGAGGTTTTCAGGTTAGTCTGTTGAAAATTAGGAGCACAGGACAGTAATGTTTTTAATTCTTAATTTTTCATATGTATATTTTCTCATGACGTCATATTTATGACTTTAAAATTTAATCTTGTATTAAAGAATGTACTTATACTGTATATCTTGCAAACTACAAAAGATTCGATGGTGGTGGGCTATAAACTGAGTTGGTTTGTTTGTTTGTAATTAAGCCCAAAGCTACACAATGAGCTATCTGTTCTCTGCCCACCACGGGTATCGACACCCGGTTTCTAGCGTTGTAAGTCTGCACACATACCACTGTGCCACTGGGGGGCTCAAAATTGAAATATTAAGAATTATGTTACTCTAGCAAAATAATCGATTGTGTGATTTAAATTGTTTTTATGAACTTTCCATGTTTTTTCTTAGTAAACTATACCGGCATTTTTGTGCATGATTTAACCTTTTTGGCTGTTTGTGGATTCTTGATGTTTAATTTAATTATTCATAGATAATACCTCTTTGTTGATCCTTGAGTCTCTAGACAGTTTTTGCTATAAAATATGTTTCCTGATAAAAAGTTACAAAAATGAATTAAGATTCCTCAAAAAAAAGTTTCTATCATGTTTATTCTCATACTCAGTGATCTCAGTCTTTCTTTTAGAACATACTAGCGAATTTATATTTTAATGAAAGTTATAATTTATTCTCGATATTTTAAACTCTCACGCTGAAAACAAACGGTGAAAGTGTCAATGTAACTGCGGCATCTCTCTCTCACAGCCTAAGCTGCTGTTCGGTTGCCATCGATAGGCGAATTCTTTTGATGATAACGTTTGTAAAAAAGACAAGAACAAAAAAAGTAAACTTTCTGTTCTACCACAATTATTGCTCGAGATGTTCAGGAATGACTGCAAAAAAAAATAATTATTCGCTTCTCTTCGTTAACTTTTCGGCAGACTTCCCTAGGGACTTACTGGTAACGATGTTGCTAGAGAAACAGCAATAGAACACGTGAGAGATTCATAAAATTGGTAAGGGAAGATGGGAATAAGAGCATTCTATTCTCTCCAGTCTTCACGAAATAAGGTTATCAAAGGAGAAAATAAGTTTCCTGAGATAAGATAGTGTACAAATGTATTTGGGTCGTGGATGAATTACATGGACAATAGCTGCCTGAGGTAACGCGATTCATTCAATTGAAATGATTTCATAAATCACATCAGATTCACGTGAATTTCTTCTCCTGACAAATGTATGTGGAAATAACATATCTGTTCATCAGCAAGGTGAATATTTTATAACATGGATTAATACAGAAAACGGCCTTTCTGGCTGCTTACACGCATACTTATTTACATGATAACATTTATTGAGACAATAGAGGTTATTTTTGGAAATAGTGTTCGTACTAAATATTAAGGAAAGTATACCTAAGTGGCATGAAATTCTTTCAAACATCATTGAATAGCCTCTTGAAGAGCAATAACATATCGAAGGGGTAGTCAACGGCTTTTTTATAAAGCAAAAAAAAAAAAAAACTAGGCTTAATTTAACGTTTTCTTTCGTGGAAATGCTTCAACCTTCGTTAAATATCCCTGCTAAGCAGCAGCAAAGAGCCAAAAGCGTTGGCAAAAACTTTCCTAAGCAAAGAAAAAACTAAGCTTAATATATGGCCACTTTGGAGGTTTTTTTTTCTCATTAAGTATTAGTGAGAGATAAATAGTAAAACAGAAGCAGCTAAGCTGTGGATATAATATTAGATCTAATAAGGAAACGAAATGTTTAGTTTTCACTTGGTAAATAATAAAAGATACAATATAATGTGTTTTATTCATGTCTTACCCTAACTTATTTATTTTCAGAGATATCAAACCCGACAATATTTTACTGGATGAAATGGGTAAGTGAGATTCTTTTTTCCATTTTGTTTGTTTTCTGAAACTAACCAAACAACTTCATAATGAAACTCCAAAAGACCAGTCATCTAGAAATTAACAGAAATCCAATAGAAAGTAAGTAATATGGAGGAATATTTGTTTGTTAATAAATACTTCAACTAAGAGGGAACGCTGAGGAAGCTGACGTCCTTTATACTTCAATTATATCGAAAATATATTTTTAGTTATCATTGTAACTAAATGTAACGTACTTATTCGTATAACATTGCTACATACGATAAATCAGACTTCAAAGGGAATTTTCTATTTTCCTTAGGGCACGTACATATAACTGATTTCAACATTGCTACGATCTTAAAGGATGGAGAATTGGCTACTTCAATGTCAGGCACAAAACCTTACATGGGTAAGTCATAACTTTCTAGATTTGAAGATTACGAAACCTAAAACGAGTAGATTCGTAGATTTACATATTATATGATTTGATTGGAATGTGAATCAAAATTTCTCCTTTGGTTGATTCTGAGAGAGTAGTCTAACTAGTAACTGTAATACGAAGACGTTACAGTTACTAGCAAGCGCTTATGTCAGTGATACATCAATAATTAATGTGTGTGTGTTTGAATATCGGTGTGATTATGACTATCCTAACAGGAATCAACAGATATTAAGAAATCTACCGAGCAGTTGAAAACTACGATATGCGTCTTGCTGTACTATAACCTCGTTATTAATATGAACTTCTGATTAAAGCAAGCTACCTACATAGATCAGAAGTAAAAATCACACCAGTAGTGAATGTAGCTAATGTAATTAATATACTGCTTTTGTTCACGTAACAGATGATACTGTCTTAAAGAAAAATGGTATTAATTGGAAAGAGTCAAATATAAGGCAGCTACCAGAAATATCACCTTGCAACTTTCCATTTTTTTCTCCAGTTAAACACACTTATGTTCTTTCATCCAGCATTATGTTTTCTTTACCTAGTATATATATAGAGCTATAATATATTGACTGCTTATAATATATCTATCTGTTTATTAAACTTGGGTTCAAAATGAGAAGTAAGTATGATGGCAGCAGCTTAGAGAGCAACAAAAGCAACGTTTTTGTGTTCGATTTTATAACATTCACAGTCTAACAAGCATGAATGCTTACAACTTCACTAGAACGGGGACAGCTTTTCTTGTCCATTGATCGGCTCATTACCTGCAGTGTCTAAAATGGAAGGGCTTGACTCTGGCTTGTTTATGAAGTTAATAATTTCCCTTGTTAACTAGAGCGACGCGGTTACGTGCTTTTAGCAAGGTCATTTCAGCCAATCTTGAATCTAGTAGTATCAGACATAACGTCTATTTTTTTAGAAACAAAAAATAATTAAATGGTTCGTTTAACTGAAATATTCCATAATCAAATAGCACATTTGCATGAAATACACGATGTATTATATTTCATCTTTACACTGTCAAGATATGTTGATAAAAAATAAAATACTTCTGATTAATATAGCTTCTTTGGAAAGTTCTACATACAACTTACTAAGCGTTCATTATTTTACTAAACACCTGAAGAACACAGATATTTTGTGAAATTTAAAATTGTCCTCAATCTACCACCAGTGCCTTGTTACTGCAACAATGTGGGATGTAAGCTTTAAAGTGTAGAACGTCATCCAGCACATCCCACATTGTTGCAGTAACAAAGCACTTGTGGTACATTGAGGACAATTCTAACTTTCACAAAAGTGTGTTTTTGAGGTGTTTATACATGTCTATAATAATAAATTAAACATTTTTTTTTATTGGCTCAAGAGGGCCTGGTAAGTTCTGATATTGACCAAAAGGAATCAAACAAACAAGGTACAGTAAAATTGCTGTTACATGCTATGATACTAACTTATTTTTACTGGAAACCCGTATTAGGCCAGTAAAGAATGATGGGTTTAAACTTATGAAAAGTCTTATTGTGATATAATATCGCACACACACTATATTACTAAAAAGTAGAAAGTATTATCGATAAGCTCCCCAAGCTAATAAAATTACAAAATATATCAGAAAATAAAAGAGGGACCAGTTAATTATTGGAATGTAACATAACTGTGCACATTAAATGTAATAAAGCACGTTTATAGGTGTCTAATTATCTATACACACAATAAAGTAAGTACACCATTTTCTCGAAAGTCACTAGACTTTTAAATTATCAGAATTTAACATTACTGCACACACTCAATGCATTCAAGCACAAGTCTACATTTCTAATTATTTAACCGCAGTAGAACTAACAAATAACTGCTGAACTATCCTTTGAAAGGGAAAGACCCTTTGAATTACGGTAAAAACAGTTATTCAAGGTTTATCGATTGTTTGTATAAACGTACACTTCAGTTGAATAGATTCGATAAAGATAATTATTTACGATTTCACTTTGACTAATTACAGAGCGACTTATAACAAAAATAATGTCAGCGAAGTATGTTAAAACCTAATTCTTTTCATCATATCGGGAAATAGTTTGTTAATCATAATGAGAGTCTTTCAACTCTAGACCCTTGTTGTAACTACACACTATTAATTATAAGAAAAGAGTCCTTCAGCACCAGAAACTTATTGTAACTACACACTATTCATGATACTGAGTGAGTACTTCAGCACCAGACCATTGTGTAACTACACGCTATTAATGGTATGGAGGTAGTCTATCAGCACCAGAAACCTTGTCGTAATTACACGCTATTAACAATACCTAGTGAGTCCTTTTGCACCATACCCTTGTTGTAACTACACACTATTTAACAATACCTAGTGAGTCCTTCTGCACCAGACCCTTGTTGTAACTACACACTATTTACGATCCTGAGAGAGTCGTTATGCTCCAGAACCTTGTCGTAACTACACACTATTAATGACACTGAGTGAGTTATTCAGCACCAAACTCTTGTCGTAACTGCACGCTATTAATGATACTGAGAGAATCTCTCAGCACAAGACTCTCTGTTGTAACTGTACGCTATTAATAATTCTAAGAGTCCTTCAGCTCTAGACCCTTGTCATAACTACACACTATTAATAATACCAAGAGAATCCTTCAGCAACAGAGCTTTGTCGTAACTACATACTGTTAATGTTACGAGTGATTCTTTCAGCACCAAACCTTTGTCGTAACTACATGCTGATAATACTACTGAGAGAGTTTTCAGCATCAGACCCTTATCGTAACTACACATTAATAATGATACTGGGGAGTCCTTCAGCTCCAGAGCCTTGTCGTAATTACACATTATTAATGATACGGAGAGAGTCTTTGAGCTCTAAAGCCTTGTCGTAACTACACTCTGTTAATACTACTGAGAGAGTGCAAATCTATCTGTTAGCATTTACATGTTGCCACCTAATCAACAGCACCCACTATCAACTCTAATCAATCTATCAATTCGTTAATTGCAACAGTTTTGTACAGTGCATCTGTATTACATATTACATCACGTGACGGAACGTCGTATTGGAAGCTATTTAGGAAGTCTTCTCGGTGTTAAAATATTTGCTTGGAAACACGATAAGTTAGATAAAAGCTAATTATTTGTAGCATATAGTTACAACAAGTCTCTGGCACTCAATGACTTTCTCAGTATTATTAATAACTTGTAATTATAACAAGGCTATGGAGTTGAAAGACTCTCTCAGTATCATTAAGAGCGTGTAGTTATGAAAAGGGTCTGGTGCTGAAAAACTCTCTCAGTAGTATTAACAGGATGTAGTTACGACAAGGCTCTGGTGCTGAAAGTTGAAGGGGTTCAACTGTTGTCATGACTATCCATTACATTAGAGATCTGGCCATTCTTTATTGCAGCGTAATTTGGCGTAGCAGGTTCTTTCTATGCGCAGCATACACCGTACAATATCAGCATTATCTCTTACATCTTCATAAGAATGTGGCCAGTAGAATCGCCTCTGTAAATGGACCATGGTGAATGGAATTTCCTGGTTCTTTCTGATTCTCTTATCATATAATGAATGAAAAATCTCAAGTCTTGGAATCCTTGAGACCACTAGCTATGCTACAAAAATATCTCCACCCCTACAACGACTGTTGTCTCATCCTTTGTTCTTTTAATTGCTCGAGAGTATGAGGTTTCTCGCCATGTTTTCAACATTGTGATGGTCACACCTTTGCTGGTTATACAGCAATAAGCATCTGAATTATTCAAAGCCTTTTAACTGCCATTTCCAAAGTTTTTTATTAGTTAACTCTGATAGTCAGTTATTCACAGCAATTTCTTTTATCTTTAAAGCAACTATAACTGTTAAAGTGGCTTCACGTCTGAACAAGAAATTTTACAAATGACTTGGTCTCACGTTATTGACACAGGGAGAAACATTTATATATGTTAGTCCCAACTGATTATATTGCCAAGTGGGCTGAAACGTATCCACTTGTTGATACATCATCGTTCTCTGTAGCTTACAATGTACATTTTGCTTTGGAGCTCCAAAAGAAATCAATAGAGATAGATCAAAGGGTGAATTTTAATAATTAACTGATTGTCAGTTTGTGTCATTTACTAGTGGTGGTGAAAATACGTAAGTTACCAAGTTATTCTCAGTTCAATAATTTGGTTGAGCGAGCAAATTCTAAACTGAATATTTGTCAAGTTTGTAAGGTTCGAGCTGTATGATTGGAATGATCAGTCAGTTATGACAACAATTTATCGGCTGCTATCAGGGCTTGTTGACGTTTGGCTGGGAAGATACAATCACCAAAGATTTAATGGCGGATCCTATCCTACTGTGTACACTCCAGAATAGTCACGTGGATATTTTGAATGGTTGTGAATCACGATTGCTGCCATATATTAATTTATATTGCAAGAATTGTCAAAAGCTGCTTTACAACATAAAACGGCTTGAATGTAGTGAGTGACGGATTATAGGTTAATGTGTGCTTAAAGTATAAAAGCTTTTCAAGTATAGTTGGATTGAACTGTATCTTGTGCTTTAATAGCTTCAGCTGTAGAACTCTGAATTTCAGCACTCGTGTAACGCATGAAAGTGCATAAACAGGTAATAAACCGAAGCCGCGTATCTCTCTGGTTGAGGATGAGCATAAAAGCAACTTCAGATAATGTAGAGGGAAATGTTGCAACCACTTATCTGGTTGGGTATGAAAAAATTAGACTCTTTAGAAGAATGGTCGCAGTGATGTTGTAAAGCTAAGAAATCCAATTATTATAATATGAAGCTGGACATCTATGATATATATGTGTGCATTTTGTTTACTGTTAGTTGAATCAGTGTATGTATTTTGCTCAATTTTTAATTGAGTCATGTTGTGTATTTTATCCATTGTTAGTTGAGTCAGTATATGTATTTTGCCCATTGTTAGTTGAGTCAGCGTATGTTT